AACAAGAGGGATAAAGGATTGAAAGAAAACAAAAGTGAACTTTCAAACTCTGGAGAAGTTGAATCTGTCACAGAAACTAAATGAATACAGACAGGAATGATGCACACTGCCTTAGGGTCAGACTTGTTTCCTCCCCTTGACTAAGTGCATCACCTAAACATGATGTACAAGCAGGACTATGGATAGAGTAAATCTTTGCAATAAAAGCACTCCATTACTTTCACACCAAAGCAGTGAAAAGAATGTGTATTATGATTTATGGTTATAGTGTTGTGTAACTCGCAGTCCACAGTAAAAGACAAGCTTTACATGCATGTGATTGTGTGAAAACACCGCACACCCTGCTATCGTGGAGCACACCCCCTAGCCACAGAATTATGCTTCAGAGCCAGCGCTTTCATTCTTACACTGGCTTCTAAGCCACACAGTGCTGCTGGCACATTTTTTGAGGCTAACCAACTTCTTGCTAACTCCCCGAAATAACAGCTGAAGAAGATGAGAATTGACCACCCCATTCACTAAAGAATAAGTCTGATGATTTCAATAACACTGTCATTAGCCTTTTAGCTTGCAGTACATTTTAAAAGAAATCCTATGAACATACTTACACAAACAAAGCTTTCTGCCTCGATAAGCTCAGCAGCAAAGGGAAGGTCTCTAGAACACTTTTTTTTTTTTTTTTAACAGTTGGAAGCACAGCAATATGCAGTCCTTGACTGATGAGTACGCTGAAAGAAAACCCTTTTACAGCTAGTCACACCAGGAGGAAAAAAAACCACAAAACTCAGCTGTTTTCTGCCCAATAGGTGACCCCAGTTCAGATGGCGGCAGTAACTGAACTGCAGCCCTCAGACTGTGCAGATTTAGCACAGCGCTGCGCTCACCCAGAGGGAAACTCCTGCCAGAGCTCCAAGGTTCCTTCCCGACAGCTGTGGGGGCATCAGGCGCTGTCAACACCAAGACCTGCAGACACGAGGGGAACCTTTAAATGGCATTAATAACCAGGATCTGTTACCTCCAGGCTACATTTGTTAGAGGACCCCAGGGGTTCTACCTCCTGCTCATTCCCACTGCTGCTGCCCCAGACTTCGGACGCCCCTCAGGGTCGAGGGGGAGCAGCTCGGTCACCAGCAGAGTGTAGAGGCTGGACTCACACAGGGAGCTGCCGCACCACCCCAAAGTGCTGTGCTTTAGAAGCCAGCATAGATCTGCTCCCACATCTACTGGGCAGCCACCGTGGTTTGGTTTTTAAACTCCATCAGCAGAAAACACAAAAAGCCTGCACACCCATTTCTTGGATTAGCAGTCTGCTTTGTTACACTGCTGCAGCATCCAAGGTGCTTCTCAGAAGCCTCTAAGAAACACCGTGCAGCCTCAAGCTGACAGGTGAGCACATCTCAGTCAGGTGTCCTGCTCTTGCCGAGCCACTGGGATCACATCAAGCCAGCCACTTTGTTATCCTTCTCTTCTGCATGCAAGATACCTACTGTCCGCCACATTTATCAATATAAAGGGCAGCAAGTAGCAGTTTTCCAATGTGTATAGATTGTGGGAGAAGTGTTGAGAGTATCATGTCAAGAGAGATGCTTGTTTTTCCAATTTTTCCAGGGATATATTCGCTAGCTACAAAAAGTTCTCACCCATTTGTGATCTGGTGAGACCGCAAGTAACAGCGATCTCCTTTTATTAGTAGGAACAAAAGTTGGCTTCCTTTACCTGGCTATTAATGAACAGAAAATAAACACAAAATCAGAGAGACAAAAGGAAAGACCCCAGGAATCTTACACACGACTGACTCAACACCTCCAACAAATACACAGAAACAAAGCTGTTAGGTGAGCGTGCAGCTTTCCTCTAAAGCTGTGTGACAGCTGACAACAACTTGCATCTGTCTCAAATAAAACTCTGTATTTTACAAACAGTATGACAGGAGCAATACTTACACAGTTTAAAGCCAGGAATCATCCCAAATAGTTTAATTTCATCCCTGAGAGGTGAAGAGTAAAGAGTGGATTAGGTTTTTAATTAGTTAGCAGAACACTGCTGCTAGCTCCCAGCTGTTTGCAGGCCAGCTCCATGATCCAGAAGGGGGGGAAGGCGGACCGGGATAATTCCTAAAATACTTCTCCACTGCAACAAGTCCAAACAGCTCCATAATACTGAACTCTGCTCATTCCTCAGAAAATTAAGAATTTAAGGTCAGCTTCAGAGGCCAGTTATTTTCACCACCAAACAGAACCCAATTTAGGCTCAGCAACATCCCTTGTCCAATCTCTTTCCTCTGTTTGCATCATTACTAAACTGCTGTTCCAGTCAGTAAAAATAGGTATAGGGTATTTAAGTATTACTCTGATATTTTCTTCATGCACATCCTTTAAATTGGTGCTTCACTAAGAACGCATCCAGCGCTGCTTTTAGGAAAAAAACAACTGAACTGTTGCAGGCTCATGCCTCATTTTTGAGGTTCCCTTTTCCCCACAACATTTTTTGCCTCATGTTCTTTTTATTCAGCAAGACAAAGAGAAAATTAAAGGAAGTAGAAGAAATTCACATACCCTGACATCTATTGCACATTTTAAACTGACAACTGTGCTACAGGTGCCAGTCTTATTTCTAGTTCCTGATAAAACAGCCCTGAAGATGCCAGAATTCTGCTCTTGTCACCCAAGATGCCCAGTTGAGTCTTTCCACTCCACATATTATCATACACCAATCCTAAAACACACAGCGCCATTGATAATGGCAGCCCCATGCAATTCATCTCACTGGTGCTCACGCTGTACAACATGCCAGGCGGTGCTCTCCTTGGTGGCTGCAGCAGTGCTGGTGTTTCAAAGCTGCAATGCCAAAGGTCAAAATCGTAGCCACCAAAGAAGTTAAAAATCGCCTCCAAGGCAAAATTCATGTCCCACTGTTATTATGAGGCTGAATGAGGCATTTATTAAACATGATAAACCGTAACTCACAGAGCCAATAACCTCTAAAGAAGTTCTAAGTTTATTTAAATCTCATCACCGAAGCGTGACAGAGCCACAAAGCTTGCTACCTGAAAGCACGGATAATGCTAATGTCTGTCCAGTGAAAATTCCTCCCATCTCCAAACAACTGGCATCGCTAATCCTTCAAATCATGGTATTTTTAAACATTAAAGGTACCGCTTATCGATACCTGCTGCTCTCAAAGGGAGTGCCTCTGTCTTAGCTGACAATCTGAATGCCAGCTCTGAGCTTGACATGATGTAGAAAAATGTCAAATTATCTCATTACAAAAGTTTCTACTGCAAACATAGATGAATGCAAATGAGAGTACACTCCTATAACAAATCAAGTCTTTGTCACTGAATGAGTGACACATTTGATTAAAGAACTTCCCCCATGCAAAAATGATTTCACTCGCACACCAATCATATTTTTTTCATATGCAAGCGATTTCCTTTAATCCTTAAAAGCCTGCGTGCAATGTGTAGTTATTGCACAGACGAAGCTATAGCCACTTCCAAACAGGGCTGGATTACGGTTTATCTGCCTGGAAATCATCTTTCTCCACCAGTTATGGTCTGGATTTCTAGGCAGTTACTTAGGCACTTGATCTGGTTATTTTCCACAGCAGAGGATCAGGAAAGCAAACAGCTTAACCAAAATCCCCCAAAGAAGAGCACCGCTTAGAGCGTATGCTCCATGCACGCAGCGGGATGGGGCCGATGGAGGCAAACGACTCCGAAGGGGCAGCTACCGCCGAGCGCCGAGTTGGCGAGAAACAGGTGCCACAGTGGGGCTGCGGGCAGCGGGCGGAGACGCGCCCATGGCGCCTTCCTGCCCTGCCGCCCCACGGCATTCCCGGGGAGCTGCCAGGTGCTGCTCGCGTCGCTCCGCCAGCGGCCGTGCCCGGTGGGCGCCGCGCTCCGGCTTCGGGAGAGACAAAAGACCGGCGGGGAGGACACACGCAGCGCACCCCATCTTTGAGCGGCGAGGGTTCATAAACTAGCAGCAAAGGCTCGTGACTCCGCTAACCGGCTCCCTCCCGCTCAAGAAGGCGTCGGGCAGTGCCCCCTCAGGGCTGGGGTCACAGCAGCCCTCGGGGTCACAGCACCCCAGCCTCATCGGGGGGCGGCCGCGGCCCCAGTCACCCCTCCGGCCCCGGGAGGGCTGGGGACGGCCGTGGGGGGGGGGGGGCGCAGCCCCAGGCTCGTTCCGCAGCCCCCGCGGGAACGGCTCCGGGACCCCCATTTTACCTCAGGAGAGGGCGGTGGGGAAGGAAGAGCCCGACCCCCAGCCCCCCCACACCGCTCCCCGCCGAGCGCCCGCCGCGGGACCCCCGGCTCGAGTCGCCCCCCAGACAGGACCCAGCCCCGCGGCTGAGGGCTCGGGCACCGCTGCCGGCACCAGGCGCCCCTCCGCAGCCCCACTAGGGGGAGAGACCCAGCGGCGGCCGTGGCTGCCCTGGTGGCGGCCCCAACCCCGGCCCCAATCCCCGCCCTGCGCTCACCGCCCGCCGCGCTCCCGTCGCCCTCTCTCGCCGGCGAAGCCGCCGCAGCCCCCAGCAGCACAATATGGCGAGCAGGAGCCTCCGCAATGGAGCTCGGGAAATAGAGGGGAGTTACATATTCATGGCCGGGGCTGGGCAGGGGTAGCGCGGATGGGGCTGCCGACACCGAGCCGCGCAGCGCCCGCCTCCCCTCGGCGCGGCGGCCGCTGGCTCCTTCCCCGCGCCTCGGCGGCGGCCGCCCGGCCCCAGCTGCCCGTAGCAGCCGCTCCCAGAGGGCGCCCGCCATCCCCGCCCTCCCTTACCTCAGCCCGCAGCCCTCCCGCCCTGCAGCCGTGCGAAGCCCCGGGGGCTTCCCCCACCGCGAGTGGGGCGCGGGGCCGGGCTGCTGCCACCCCCTCAGCAGCTGGGACGGGGGCAGCCGGGCGCCGAGGGAGCTCTCGCCGCGCCCCGGTGGGCTTCGAGGCGCTCCTCGGGGCCCCGACCCGCTCTGCGGCAGCGAGTCGAGAACAGGCATTTATTTGTCTCGGGGTGTCGGCGTTTTAGCGTCTGGTAAATTAAGGGGATGGCTCTCAGGAGCGCATGGTGTCTCACCGCGCCTTCCCCCGTCTCGTCGTTAACGGCGTTCAGGCAAAAGCAGAGGGTCGCACCTCGCCTAGTGCGCCTGAGCCTGGTGAAGGCAACAAGCGGGCAGAGATCCTGTCGTGAGACATAAGCCCATACTTCAGTCTTTAATGATGCTACAAAATAACGTAGAATTGCTCAATATGGGGTATTGCAAACGCTTTAAGTTTTCCTTGAGTTTTACAGTCAACAGCTGCACAACCGGCATATGAACAGGTAAAGTCCTGGCTTGGATTTTTTTTCTCTTTGCAAAACTTCTTATTTTTAAGAAATTCTGGCACAAACCAGGCTATTCCTGGTGGTTGTAAACAAACGTTTTTACCTAGCAGCTCTTACTCCCCCACACTCCTTGTGACCAACACAGCAGCCTTTATAACTAAAGCCTCCCAAAGGGCTTGCTTGGCAGGGTGGCCAGCAAGAACCTCTCCGTTTTCCAAGTGCGATCAAATCTCTCCACTAAATCTCACAAGCAGTAAGATAGGGATGGGTTTAACAGTTGTCTTTGTTCCTGACATGTTTTTGGATATTTGTTTCTTATTTAGTGAGCTAGGTTGGGCTTTTTAAAGTTGAAATTCAAAAGCTGTATAGAAAGATTTAAAAAAAAAAAAAGATTTTGATCAGTTCTATTTAGAATGCAACAGGTTAGAATCAATAACTGAAATTTTTCTCATGTTTCAGCTGTTCATCAGCAGTGAAGAAGGAAAGACTTCAGGGAAGCTACACCAGAAAGCATCATTCGTAGAAACTGCCTTGCTCGCTTAGGGTCTTCAGTACTTGGGTGAGTGGAATAGCTCATGTCTTAATGTGCGGCCATTGGTAAAACTGGTCTGAGATGAAAAAAGCCAAATGAATTGTATGTTGTAAAAATAAGATTGGCAAAATTGAAGCACACAGTTTCATGGAAGGCAGATCTCCAAAGGAAGATGGAGTGTGAGGTATGTTGGAAGCATCTGGTAAAATCCAGGGGTATACAGTGGCACGTAAATTTAAAAAAAGCCAGGCGTTTTTAAAAGCAATTGGCATAAAGGGAGACAAAAAGAAATTCAGCACAGTTAATCAGTTATGTCAGTGGTATCCAGGTCACCATATTTATAAGAATATTTATTTGATTGTGGTTTATGTTTGTCATGTTTACCAGATCATAACAGTGCATTGGATCTTCTCTGCAACACAGTGTTGTCAGTACTTTTAAGGGTGTTTAATAATAATAAAATTAAAAAAAAAAAGGCCACTGTGTACTTTTCAAGCGCAGGCTGTCAGTATGCCAAGACAATGACATGAAGAGGTTTCCTGTTCAGCGGAAATATGTGGTATAGATGCACAGTTCTGCTCCATACCAAATACCCTGCTTAGTGTGGGAATGGGGAGCCTGCAGAGCCTTGGCAGCTCTGAGGGCAGCAGCACCCTGCATGGTGTGAGCAAGACATTTTTTCCCCCCTCTGTTTAGCAGTCATTAAAAGGCATCCAGGTACTGTGTCCAGTTCTAGGGCCACACTACAAGAAAGGCATGACTAAACTGGAGTGCAAAAAAAATAAATAAAACAAGAATGATTGAACAGAATATGAGGAAGACACAAAAGCAGCACACGTGTTGCCCTGATACACTCTGCCATCCCCTACCTTGGGGGTTTTCAAGACCCAACTGGCTCAAGCCCTGAACGGCCCAGTCTGACCCCAGAGCTGAGCTGCTTTGAGCAGGAGGGTGGATGGGGACTTCCTGAGGTCCCCTCCAGCCCACCTTATGCCACCATCTGTGATTCTGTTCTCCCAGTGCAGACAAGGAAGCCTAGGACGTGAATAATATTGTATTTCAAGCCTTGTCTTTGTGATCATGTTCTTTGCAGCTTTCTCTGTAGTAGGTAGAAAAAATTGTGCTGCATGATAGGTTATATAGCTTTCATCAGCTTGTGACTTCCAGTGTTCCTTGTGTAATGGGAACTCTTCTCATGCTCCTTGTAGCAGCAAAATAATAGTACAGAAAATTACCCCAGTCAACTGAGACATGCTGTTTCCATGTCCTCCTTCCAGGTAAAATAGTTATTACCTGTTAAAGTGATTGAAGGTCATCCATTCACTACCTTTTAGAAACTAGTATAAATAGAGAAGAAAATGGAAAATAAAGTACTCCCATTTTCAAAGTCTGGAGGCAGAGAACTGTAAGTAACACATAAAATGTGGGAGAAAGTAGGAAATGTCCACATTGGTGTGTTACTTTGCTGGTGCATTACACTGGGGAAAAATGAGTGTATAACTAAATGACAATGAGGAAAAAATACACAGGTGGTAGATTGGTAAAATGAGGTAAGGCAATTGCTGGTGCCCTAGGTAGGCTGAGAGTCTTGTCTGCCCTCACACTGGTAAAATCAGCTTTTCTCCTTTGCTGGCTGCCCCTGCTAAAAAGGGCAAGAGAAATTTCCGACACATTTACCCTTTGCGCTCATTGCAGATTGTATACAAAGGATCTAATCAGAAAGAAGGGAGGAATGAAGAAAGGGCTCTGAGGTTGTTCCTCTGAACCAACACTGGCTCAGAATCATCATTTTGCTACAATTTAAAATTTAGTTTCATTGCAATAAAAGCAGAGGCAAACAAGTTGTTTGATCTTAGTTAACAACGAAAAACGCTTGATATTATGAATGATAAAAGAGTGACATTAAAGAAGACTGCTCAGCACGGGTTGTGTTGTGACAGACCACATTCTAGAGAAAGTTCAGGATACAAGAAAACTTTGTGTTCTAGCTTCAATGCTAAATTAAGATACTTAAAGAATAAACATTTGCTTGACAATATCTTGAACTGACAAGCACAACTAGATCCACGTGTGCCAATGATGTGATGTTGTTGCAGTGTGGCTTCTTGCTAGGGCTGTAAGAATTCAGTGAAAACATCCAGTAGAAATCCAGAGTAAAGACTCTTCACTGGACGTAAGAGCAGCACAAATGTATGGTAAAGGAAGAAATTATGCCCACTCATTAAATAAAAATTCGCTTTCATACAGATGTTGTGTCTGAAGTAGGGCTCTCTGGCTGTATATGGGTTTAATAGACCCAGAGTGATCAGTGATCGGGGCTATCTTTCATAGCAAGGCTGAAGTTATGTCACTTTATGCAACATTTGGATGAATATCTTGAAGATAAGTGTAAGGAGTTACTTTGGATATACTTGCTAACAGTGTGGTAAGTTATGCTGAGCAGTACTAAACATCCAGAGCCATAGACTTTGTCTGTTTCACTAGTGGGTCACGTGTTCTAGACACTTGTTTGTGTATGCCTCAAAAATAATTCATTGTGTGACAGAAAAGATCAGCTCTGCTGTAATCTAGATTAATTTCCATGATTCATAGGAAACATAATACCCCACTAAAGTATTTCTCAGAACTTTGAAAAGACAGTGACTTTTAGACTTTTAGACAAAAACATGTGTGAAGGAAAAGAACATGGCACATTATCTATTCACAAAAGTAATGTGCATAAATGGGAATTGTAGCAGAATCCATATTACTTAAGGATTAAATTGCACAGATTACGGATTCTATCTGCTTTATTCATTTGGAAAAGAAGTTCTGTGTGAGGCAATGCAGGATCTTCACTATTCAGGCCCCACTATATAGCTCTTGCTTTCAAAAAAGGTCACTCAAGACCAGTATATAGCCAGCATTCGGGCAATCAGTGGTGATTCAGTGGCAATCAGAGGGAAAGTTATTTCTAAAAACAGTGGTTTGTAAGTCCTGAATAAGCTAGAGGTAGCAGAGATGAGAGCAGATGGTAATACAGTGGATCTTGTTTAGTATGAAACATTTGTCTTCCTCTTCAATGCTTCCTGAATATGTTGAGGCATCTGACCCTAACATGTCCTTAATCAACTGCAATGCACTTCTTATGCAGTGTGCAGAATGGCAACAGACTTTGAGCAATCAGGAGCGTCAAATTTTTCACCAGCTTTGATGGTGAGTGTCAGGCCAAACTATCTAATGCAGATTACTTATAAGAAGGCAAAGATAAGAGTGTAGGGAAAAAAAATCATCTCAATTCTTAATGGACACTATAGTCTAATAGCTTTGGAACAGGCATGAACCATTCCAGCGTAGGTACAAGACAAACAATTATGCAGCCCTGGAATAACCGTAGTACAGTGGTATCAGTAACTGGTAGTAATTCAGCAATATGTTGTATTTTCCAGCCACTGTTTTCATGACATGATTGAACTGCGTGCTTCTGAAAGTAATCATATCAGCAAAGTAAAATCCAAAGTGACAACTAGCCAAGAACTTCAGGAGCAGTATCCTGATGTTTCCTACTTCATAAAATTAAGTTTCAGGCAATGATAAAAAGGATTTTGTCAATTTAAAAAAAAAAAAAGTTCAAAATGGCAAACCTCCAAATTACAGAAATGGCATATAAGCAAGAAAGTTAGTACATGAAATTCAGATTCTTAAATATTTCAAAAGGCAAAATCCCAAACTCGCTTAAACTGAAAAAGATATATTTATAAAATCTGTAGCCTTAGGGCTGGTGCTTGAAAATATACAGTGCTTTCATAATATTCATACTTTGAGTAGACATTTTATGTCTCCTTAGTTTGTAAAATGTCTTTAAGACAGATTAAGGTGGTTGTCTGACATAAGAAAGCTGGATAATGAAAAGTATTCTTTGTAAAGACATGCCTAATTTGGACTTCTGAGGTGAGGTAGCATGCACTTAATGGCAGGTATTAATTCTGAACTTGATATTTAAGACAGTATGTTAACAGGTGTAGAAATTCAGGGAGACAAAGTAATTATTTAATCATGTAATTAGCTTATTAAATATATTTTATTTCGCTGGGAATGCTATCTAGGCATTTCCTTTATCCCTTAAATATGGTAAGAGAAGATAATTAATTGATTGTATCTGAAACATTGTTTAGCCACTACAAAGTCAATAAGTGTGTGTTTTTTTCTGGCACGTGCTGCCAACAAAAATCAAATGTGCTGCCCCAAGTAGTACCTTTCTAACAGTATTTGCAGCCATTTAGGTGCTCTAACATAGGTGTGACTTTACTGTTGCTAACACATTGTGTTCTGGTATAGACTCTAACAAGCGAATGGAGCTGCCTGGTATTTTCCAAGTACAGTAAACATTTTGGTTTCGATTCAGTAATGATATCAACTCTGATAGCAGAGAATTCCCCTTGCTCAGCTTATTTCAAGCAGTGAGAGCGATGTGCTGAACACATGGTTTTCTTCTACTTCTGGGATGTTGTGCAGGCTGCCCTGTTCCATGTAGCTAAATGGACACTCAAAATCCAGGCTCTGAAAGATGAAGTGTTAATAGATACCCTTCCATTCCCAGAAATCCCAGGCCAGGAGATAAGGACAAAAAAGTGATAAATTATTTCAAGTAACTAGGAGAAAGATGCTGCTCCTCTTGAATGCTAAATCAAATTGTCTGTTAGGAATGTGTCTAGAAAAAAAAACAAAACAAACAAAAAAAAAAAAAAAAAAAAAAAAAAAACACAAACAGAAGAATCCCACTGTATTGTAACTATTCTAAGAATAAATTCTAGGCAGGGAGAGTTCTTCACTTTCCCACCAAGCATATTTGTTCCCTTTAAAAGCAAATTACAGAATGTGTGTGGCTGACAAACTATCACTGACCTTCTTCTGTGCCCCTGTAGCACATGCAATAAAGATTTGTAATCTTTTCTTCTCTTCCTAGGGGACAACGTCCTGCCATTCCACACCACATTTCCCACTAGTGTCACAGCTAGGGGCCAGGGCTAGTTTGTGCTAGCACAGTT